ATGGGAGAGGGGGATGGGGTGGGTGGTGGTGGGGGGTTGCGGATCCCTTGTTGATATTTGCATGCACAGCTGTTTTCTGTCTGGTTGAAAAATATACTTTCTGCTCTCCTTGAAAAGCTTCGTAGAATTCAATTCCAGCTTTGTTTTGTCTCCAAGGAGAGCCTGAGTGAACAGACTGAAAAATTCTAGTTCACAGTTCACACAGGCATATTCCAGTGGGTGCATACATAAAGGGCACATTTGGGGGAGATGTCAGAGGCCTCTGCAGAGTCTGGGCTGCCCCTCTTGTTAACATGAACAGGACTCTCAAAACCCGACCATCACAAGCCTCTCTCCAAGCTGACTCCAGCAGGCCCATTTCTCTGCTTAGTGGCATCAGGATGCCTGACAAAAGCACCACTGCCTTTTATTAAAGCTCAGAATTTCTGGAATGTGATAAAGAGAACTTATTTGCTATTCTTGCCATGTTGAGAAAAATGTATCCAGATTTTGATTCTTAAAGATTGTGCAAAGAAAGGGCCATTCTGCTTAACTGCATCGTCCTCTGGATTCGGAGTCTGTCCTAGGACAGTGCTCCAGGGCAGCACTTGGCAGATGAGATTTCTGGGGCCAGGCACTGAATACTGCCAAACGTAAGGGACAAAAATAAAGCCACCTTGTCCTGCTTTTAGCTGTCATGAAAAAAGTAGTTGCATGCTCTGTTTGTTTGCTGGAGACCCTCAACCCCAAGCTTGACCTTGAGAACTCAGACAGGCTCTCCAGGTTTCCATGAGGCAATTGCCCTTGTCATCACCTTGATGCAAATTGGTTGTTGGATATTGGAATGGACAGTTGTCTTTGGGGACCTTTAAAAGGTCACTCATAGGTCTTAAATTCTCAGTAAAGATCACTTATATGCCTTAGATTCTGGGGTATCGGGTGGGCTGGATTAGAAAAAGATCAGCATTTTGCTTTTCCTGGTAGGACTAGTCCAGAGGGCCAAGGAGGCCTCCAGACAACCTCAGTTTTAGCCCGTTAATCAGAGCTCACTAAACTTAGCCCCTTTGTTTTACCCTGGAAATGCACCCTGCCTTTAGGCAGGTAGAGTATTTTAATTTTCACTTTCCAGATGAGATAACTAAGCCCAGACAACTTAAACAGCTTGTTGGTGATCACAAAGCAAGCTGGAGGCAGATATGGGACTTGAATCCAGATTTCGTTCCTGGGCTGTGGATACTAAGTTCAGTATGAGGCTCCCCGAGTTTCTAGTTTTAAGGGGAACTGTCACCAACTGTCCTTCCTCCATTCCTGGAACAGACTAAAATCTGCCAGCACTTTTTTCCCACCCATCCATAGATTAAATTCCTTTCTTATGCCCCTGGCTTTGGAGAATGTAATGCATGGAATAGGCATTTGAATAGCTTGTCCGTTTAAAACCTGGAACCAGCTGGGTCTCTGCTAGATCAGATGTGGGGGTTGGGAACAGCCTGAGCTCAGTGACAAAGTCAGAGAAACAGCTTGACTGCCTCTTGTATCTGACTGAAAAGCCTTGGGCCAGAGTGGAAAGATCTGGGTTCTAGACTCTTTCTAGCTGTCTAGTCACTCTGTGCCTCGGTTTCCCTTTTGTAAACAAGTACTGAAACCTGCCGTACCTACTTCACACAGTTGTGATTAGGATAAAGTGGCAGTGCAGGGGAAAAGTAAAGAGCCCCACAGACCTGAGCTGCCCACATGCTTTTCTGAGCTCGAGTCTTCACTGCGACTGCTGGGAGCTGAGGAGGACGTGGGGGTGTCCGCTCCTGACAGCGTAACTTGTGATGTGAATGTCCATGTGCCTTCAGGATGTGGTTGAACTTGTCTTTTTTCTCTCCCGCATGCTCCAGGCTGGGGGAAGTTTGCTCGGCTGACCAGAGCCCTGACCAGCAGCCGGGGCGTCCTGCAGCAGCTGGCGCCCAGCGTTCAGAAGGGCGAGAGCGTGCACAAGCACTCCCGCCTGGCCGAGGTAAGGGCAGGGGCCTGCTCGGCTCACGCCTCCCTTCTGTGGGCTCCGGGGCCGAGGGAACGGTACAAAGTGAGTGTGCTGGTTTGGAGGGGGCCTTCAGGATCCCCAGACTCTTGTCCTGGCTGGGCTGCACACTGTGATGGGTGACTTCGGGTAAGTGACCTAACTCCCTGCAGCTCTGTTCCGACCTGCTTGAGCTTACAGGTGTCAGTTCACTTCTCTGAAGGAGTAGGGAGGGAGCCAGGAGTGCTATATGTTCAAAAGGGGGTTGTACCTGTAAACCATAAACAATTTTTTTAATTTGAGTTACACATATTATTTAAAGGAAAAGAAGATACAGGAAGCAAAAAGAAAATAAAAACCACCTATAATGCCGCTAACCAGGGTGGTTTCTCCCTTTTGCTGGGACAAGTCCTTGGGTGATATTCACTCTTTTTGGTATCCTGTAATTTAAATGCTTAAAATATGTAAACTTAGCTATAATTAATACATCTTACATTAGATAATGAGGGGATAAGAGAAGGAAAGAAATAAAAGTATTTGCTTAACATATATACACATGTATATGTTATATATATAAACATTCATAACAAAATAAAAAATATTCATAATTCTTAACTTGCTCTGTAGTTTTCTACACATAATGCCTTTTAATGTGCTGTACAGTTTACTTATTTTATTGTGTTTATTGTCCACTAATATGTCCTAAGCACTTAAAACAGNGTTATATATATAAACATTCATAACAAAATAAAAAATATTCATAACTCTTAACTTGCTCTGTAGTTTTCTACACATAATGCCTTTTAATGTGCTATTTTATTGTGTTTATTGTCCACTAATATGTCCTAAGCACTTAAAACAGTGTCTGGCACACAGTACATACTCATCAGTAGTGCTTTTTTTAACTGAACAAATGGATGAAAGAAAGGAAAGGATGTTAGTGTTTTTGTCTGTCTGTCCGGCAGGTAGACAAGAAATTGCTCATTAATTGGCAATGTGAGGCAAACACCTGGGTCACATCCCAGGGGCTAGTAAATATTAATTAACTTGGCTGGAGGCTTACCAATTTTATGGATCTTTCCAAAGAACCGGCTTTTGATTTTGTTGATTTTCTCTAATGGTTTCCTGCTTTGAATTTTATCGATTTCTGCTCTAATTTTTATTATTTCTTTTCTTCTGCTTACTTTGGATTTAATTTGCTCTTTTTTTTTTTTTTTCTAGTTTCCTAAGGTGGGAACTTAGATGATCAATTTTTTATCTTTTTTTCTTTTCTAATATATGCATTCAGTGCTGTAGATTTCCCCTGAACCACTGTTTTCACTGCACGCCACACATTTTGATAAGTTGTGTTTATTTTCATTTACTTCAAAATATTTTTAAATGTCTCTTGAGATTTCTTTGATCCCATGTTGTTATTTAGAAGTGCGTTGCTTAATATCCAAATGTTTTGGGATTTTACTGCTGTCTTTCTATTTTTGACTTCTAGTTTAATGTCATTGTGGCCCGAGAGCAGACATTGTGTAATTTCTCCTCTTTTAAGTTTGCGAAGGTGAGCTTTATAGCCCAGAATGTGGCCTGTCTTGGTGAATGTTCAGGTGAACTTGAGAAGAATGTGTATTCTGCTGCTGTTGTCAGGTATATCCAGTTGATTAATGGGGTTGTTAAGTTCAACTAGGTCTTTACTGATTTTCTGCCTGCTGGATCTGTCTGTTTCTGACAGGGGAGTGTTCAGGTCTCCAACTCTAATAGTGGATTCATCTGTTTGTCCTGCGGTTCTATCAGCTTTTGGCCCACGGTTCCGATGCTCTGCTGTTTGGTGCATACCCATTAAGGATTGTTATGTCTTTTTCATAACAACTGACCCCTTTTTCATTATGTAATGCCATTCGTTATGCCTGACAACTCTTCTTGCTCTGAAGTCTGGTCTGTGAGAAATTAATATAGCTACTCTCGCTTTCTTTTGATTAGTGTTAGCATGGTATATATTCCTCCATCCTTTTATTTTAACCTAGATGTGTATTTATATTTCAAGTGGGTTTCTTACAGACAACATATAATTGAGTCTTGTTTTTTTGATCCACTTTGACAATCTCTGTCTTGATTGGCATATTTAGACTATTGATGTTTAGAGTGATGTTTAAAGAGATTATTGGTACAGCTGGATTAATATCTACCATATTAGTTATTTTCTATTTGTTGCCCTTGTTCTTTGTTCCTATTTTTGTCTTCCACTCTTTTTCTGCTTTTAGGGGTTTTAATTAAGCATTTTATATGACTCTGTTTTCACTCCTTTCCTAGCGTATCAATTATACTTGTTTTTTTTTAGTGATTGCCCTAGAGTTTACAATAGACATTTACACAACTAATCCAGGTCTACTTTCAAATAACGCTATGCTGCAAGCACCTTATAACAAACTATTCTTAATTTCTTCCTCCTGTTCCTTATTTGTTTGTTTGTGTGACTTCTTTTTCTTTTTTGTCATTTATCCTGCTTGGTGTTCTGTGAGCTTCCTGGATCTGTAGTTTGGTGTCTGACATGAATTTAGAGAATTCTCAGTCATTATTGCTTCAAATATTTCTTCTGTTTCTCTCTCCTTCCTCTGGTATTTCCATTACCTGTATCTTAACATCTTTTGTAGTTGTCCCATAGTTCTTGGATATTCTGTTCTGTTTTGGGGGGCACTTTTTCTCTTTGCATTTCAGTTTTGGAGGTTTCTGTTGACATACCCTCAAGCTCAGAGATATTTTTCCTGATCTGTTCGGTCTACTAATGAGCCCCTAAAGTCATTCTTCATTTCTGTTACGGAGTCTTTGAGCTCTACTTTTCCCGTTTGGTTCTTTCTTAGAATTTCCATCTCTCTGCTTACACTATCTGGTTTTTGTGTGTTACTTTTTCCATTAGAGCCCTTAGCCTATTAATCATAATTGTTTTAAATTCCTGCTCAGATAATTCCAACATCCCTCAATGTCTGGGTCTGGTTCTGTTGCTAGCTCTGCCTCTTCAAATTGTGTTTTTGCCTGTTAGTATGCCTTGCAACTTTCTGTTGAAAGCTGGACAGGATGTACTGGGTAAAAGAAACTTGAGTAAATAGGCCCTTGGTGATGTGGTGGTAAGGTGTGTGGGGAGAAGTATTCTAGTCTTGTGATTAGCTGTTTCAGTGCAGATCTGACAGAGGCCCTGCCATTCCTCCAGGGGGCTCTGCAGCAGAGATGGCCAGCTAGAGGAGTCCTGTGTAGGGACTCAGCCCCTTCCTTGTCCAGTTATTGGCAGGGGCTTCGCTGGAAAGCTTAGGTTTCTGTCCCTTAGGAAGCTACCAGGAGCCTGTCCACTAACTGCACACCTGCAGCTGGGCAGGGAATCCTTTCTGGGAGCGGGATCGGAGAGGGTACAGCTCTGAGTCTGCCACCACCTCGTCACTGTAACTCATTCTGCCTTGATAGGGAGGAAGTTGTGGCCGGTGTGTGAGTCTCTCTGTGGCCTTCAGGCAGGAGTGACCCTGCTGGGGTTTGGTCTGGCTGGGACCACTCTAGTGCCAGCCCCTCTCTCCAAGGAATGGCTGTGGGGAAGACGTGGAGGGAAACCACCTTTTCTGTCACATCCTCTCACTTCTTCCCTCTGAAGGAGCCAGGTCAAGACATACACTGAGGTATGCAGTTGTGGTGGCCGGGCACAGGCACTTACATTCACCCCGGTCGGGTGTGGGGCGGGGGCACTAAGTGCTGCCCTGCCCGCAGCTTGTCACCTTTACAAGGAGATCTGGTAGCTGCCGCGTGTGCTTCTGTTTCTCATGGAGATGACAAGACTAATGGGCCGGAACAGCATTCCAGGTTACAACTCATTTGACAACTTATTTAGCTGTGCGATGTGGGGCAGGTCATTTCCCATCGAAGAGCTTCCGTTTCCTCCTCTTACTTCTCTCAAAGGGAGGCCGTCGGTTCAGATGAGCACATGCCCCATAGATTAATGAGGCGCAAGGAGGATCCTGAGTGCCAGCATCCTGGCACATAGCAAATGCCCAACAACATTAGTTTAAGACTACGTTTTGACTTCTGGTTCTTTAAATCCTTTTTAAAAAACTTTCTGAAGTTTCAGAAATGAAACAGGTTCTTGATCAGATTTTAAAACATAGAGGTATATAAAGTAGAAAGTGATAAGCTCACTGTTTCTTAGAAGTAACTACTTGTAACAGCATGTGTTTGATTACGAGTATTTGTATATAGGATTTACATTGATTTTTTTAAAACAGAAATGTGGGTCATACGGTAAACATTACTTTCCAGTTTGCTTCCCCCCCCCCACTTACTGGTATATTTGGGGTGCTTTCCTAAGAGCACATATCCCCTTTATTATTGTGTTTTTTTTTTAAAGATTTTTAATTGATTTTTAGAGAGGAAAGGAGATGGAGAGAGGGAGAGGGAGGGGGAGAGAGAGAGAGACACACACACACATTGATGTAACAGCACTACATGGATCAACTGCCTCCTGCACACCCCCTACCGGGGATCTAGCCTGCAACCCAGGAGTGTGCCTGACTGGGAACTGGCCACCTTTTGGTGCATGGCACGATGCCCAACCAGCTGAGCCATGCTGGTCAGGGCCCCTTTATTCTTTTTAATGGAGATTTTGTACTCCTTTGCATGACCGTATCCAAACCTACTTAGCTATCCCCCTGCTGATGGATATTCAGGTGGTTACTAATCTCGGGCATTTACAGAGAATGCTTCAGTGAATCTTCTTGTATGTGTATTGTTGGTTTTAATTTAGAAATATTTCAAGCTCTCAGAATAGTAGAGGGTAATTTGACCAGCAGTCATTTATTTATATTGTCTAGACAATAAACGTTAGTTTCTCACTTCGGATTCTTTTTTGAAAATTAAAATATTACAGGTAAAATTTAGGTCCTCTTAGGAGTTATTCCCAGAAATAATCACCAGTTATGTGTCTGCTTGCTACTGAATTTTTAATATTTTTATTACTTACGTATTTATCTGTAGAA